GTCCATACTCCTATACCCAGCAAAGCTTTCAATTACCATAGGTAAAATAATCAAGATATTCCATGACAAAACCACATTTAAATAATATCTATCCACAAATTCAGCCCTAGAAATACTAGAAGGAAAACCGTAGCTCAAGGAAGTCCCACAAAATACAGGCAAAAAACCAAAACCAAAACCAAAAACAAAACAAAAAAGCTTCACACCAGCAAACTCCAAAGAAGGGAAACAAACACTACCACCACCAACAGAAATATAATAGGAATAAACAATCACTTGCCATTACTATCTCTTAATATTAATGAATACAATTCTTTTATAAAAAGACACAGGCTAAAAGAATGATACAAAAAACAGGACCCATCCATCTGCTGCATAAAGAAACACACCACAACCACAAAGACAAACATGACCTCAGAATAAAGGTTTGGAAAATTTTTTCTATCAAATGGACCTAAGAACCAAGCAGGTGAAGCTATCCTAATATCTAACAAAACAGACTTCAGACTAAAATTAATCAAAAGAAACAAAGAAGGACATTTCATATTCATCACAAGGAAAATCCATCAAGATAAAGTCTCAGTTCTGAACATTTATGCACCAAATACAAGAGCACCCACATTGTAAAAATATTATTAATCTTAAAGCACATATCAAACCCCACATACTAATAGTGAAAGACTTCAAAACCCCAGTCTTAGCAACAGATAGATCTGCCAGACAGAAGCTTAACAGAGAAATAAGGGAAACAACAGGTGTTATGACTTAAATGTACTTAATAGACATCTATAGAATATTCTACCCAAACACTTTCTCAGCAACTCATGAAACCTTCACTAAAATTGACCACATTCTTTGTAACAAAGAAAATCTCAAGAGATACAAAAAAAATTGGAATAACTCTCTGCTCTCTGTATTTTATAGAGTCTCCATTGCTTAAAGTTAGAGTTCAACAACCAACACTAATTGCAGAAAGCCTACAAATTTGTGTAAATTGAACAATGCTCAACTGAATCATCATTGGGTCAAGGAAGAAATAAAGAAATTAAAGACTTTCTAGAATTCAATGAAAATGAAAGCAGAACACTCCCAAACTTAGGGGATACTGTGAAAGCAGTGCTAAGAAGAAAGTCCACAGCACTGAGTGCCTATGTAAAGAACATGGAGAAATCTCACACTAGCAACTTAAGAGCACACATGAAAGCTCTTGAACAGAAAGAATCAAATTTGTCTAGAAGGGGTAGACACCAGAAAAAAATAAGATTGAGGACTGAAATCAATAAAACAGAAACAAAGAGAATAAGACAAAGAATCAAGAAACAAAGAGTTGGTTCTTTGAGGAAATCAACAAGATAGAAAAACCCTTATCCAAACTAACCAAAGGGCAGAGAGAATATTCAAATTAATAAAATCAGAAATATAGCAACAGATATAATCAGATATAACAACAGACAGTGAAGAAATCCAGAGAATCATCAGGTCATACTTTGAAAACATGTACTACACAAAATCGGAAAATGTATAAGAAATGGACAGTTTTCCAGATGGGTACCACATACCAAAATCAAATCCAGATCAGTTAAACAATTTAAATAGCCTGATAACACTCAAGGAAATAGAAGCAATGATCAAACGTCTGCCAACCCTAAAATACCCCGGGGACAGATGGTTTCAGCACAGAATTCTGTGATAGTTTCAAAGAGGAACTAAAAGCAATACTTCTCAAATTGTTCCACACAATAGAAACAGAAGGGGCATTTATTTATTTTATGAGACTGCAGTCACCAATTCCCCATTGTGTACATAATAAATGAATTAAAAGAAAACTCAAGTCAAAATGGATCAAAGACTTCAACATAAATCTGAAAGGCTGGAAAAGATTCTAATTCTGTGCTGGGCCATTTGGGGAACTTGAACCACACCCCAGGCTCCAGGAAAAGCTGAAGGTTGACACCCCAAAACACAGGATAAGCTGAAGGCAGTGGGATTTCTCTTTAGGGGAAGTATTAGCTAATGGAGAAACCTAAGTTACACAAAGTTGCTGACTGCAATCTATTCCCACACCCATACTTAAACTGAGAATGTTGACCACCCAACTTCTCCTACCAGCTTGAAAATATTTCAAAAAGCCCTTGTGATTAGCACAGGGCCAGCAGATATCTGAAAGATGTAACCAGGGAGGATGTTGCTATTCCCCTTAGATAATAATAGCCTATCAGGAACTACCAGCTGAGCTTTAGCCAATTATGATATAGGATATGTAATTTTGTTTTTTGAAACTGTAATCTTGTTACTGTTTGTGGTTTTTGTGTTTATAAACCCATTACACTAGTAGACAGGATCCTTCTCCCTCCATCTGCTGTGTCTGACTGTGAGGCAGAGGGCCCATGCTAGTCTGTGCTTAATAAACGAAACCTTGGAAGTGTGGCTTTGTGTTGGTCTTCTTGCAAGTTCTAGGACTTAGGCATAACAAATCTGGTTAAACTTAACCTTATAGAAGAGAAGGTGCAAAGTAGGTTTGAATTCAGGGACCCATGAGACCACTTCCTAAATATAACACCAGTAGCATAGACACTGAAAGCAACAATAAATAAATGGGTCCTCCTGAAACTGAAAAGCTTCTGTAAAGCAAAAGACACAGACAATAAGACAAAATGGCAGCCTACTGAATGGAAAAAGATCTTCACCAATTCCACATCAGACAGAGAACTGATCCCCAAAATAAATAAAGAACTCTAGAAATATAGAGACCAAAATGCAAAATAATCTAATTAAAAGATGAGGTACAGATCTAAACAAAATTTTCAATAAAGAATTGCTCAACATTCTTAGTCATTAGGAAAATGCTAAAGCATGACTAATAAAAAATACAAGGTAAGAAATAAGATATTTATAGGAAAATTATTTTTCATGATCAAAACCCAAACACAAATCAAGAATATATTTTTATTTTATATCTTATTTTATTTTTTAATTCATTTTACTTCCCAACCACAGATTCCCCTCCCTTCCCTCCTTCCCATTTCCACACTTCCCACATTCTTCCCACATCCACTCCTCAGAAAAGGTAAGGCCTCCTCTGGGGAGTCAGCAAAGCCTGGTTCAATCACCTGAGGCAGGACCAAGCACCCACCCCCACCTGCCTGTTGCATCAAGGCTGTGAGCAAGGTATCCCACTATGGAATAGGCTTCAAAAAGCCAGTTTATAAACTAGGGATAGATCCTGAACCCACTGTTAGGTGGTCAAAAACCAGACATGTCTGCAAAACTACGCAGAAGGCCTGGTTCATGGGGTCCCAAGCAGAATCCCCAGCTGTTGATCTAGCCCATGAGCTCCTGCAACTTCCGGTCATCTGTCTCTATGGGTTTCCCCATGATGATCGTGATACCCCTCCTCCCTGTGCTCATATAATCCCTCCTCATGACACACTGCGGGGGATAAACCCACATTCCTAGGCAAAGGGACAGGATAATTTGGATTCAGATTATTTTTTTAAAGGACATGAATTTGGCATGGTGAGGTAAGGATGGATCAGAGAAGAGTAAGAACAGGTGGGTAAATATGATCAAAATAGGTTATATGGAATTCTCAAATAATAAAATATTTTATTAAAAAGAAGAGATTATGTGAATAAACTATAGTCTTACACAAAGGAATTCGTGAAATGAAGAAATTTAATGAACTACATTTCCTCTAAAAATGTGATTAAATCTATCAATAAATTAAAGGAACCAAAAGCAAATGGATAGATGTTAAATAGTCCTTTATGTTTTCAAGTCGACAACAGATAAAATAAACCCATAGTATGGGGAACTAGGATATAAAGAGAAAAATGAAAATATTCTAAAAATATTTTTATTTTTAGAATAAAAAGACTGTGAATACTATCCATTTCCCCCAGTGTCTGCTTTATTTAAATACAAGGGTTAAACACCCAGCCGCATACCGTGATCCATCTTACTTGTAGGGTGTCATAAGCTTGTCACTCATTTCATCTTTATGATCAAATTACAGGCAACCTTGTATCAAATATTTTTCAAAATAAATGTGGTGAATCTAAAGTACACAACAGCATCATGAACCACTCAACACGTGATGCAAGCTTACAGTTGAGAGAAACACTGTGTTGATCAGTCAGTTCTGTGCCAATGGATGGTTTGCAGGACTGTGGTCTTTCAGCAATATTTTCCTTTCCTGTACCTCAGGATTTCCATCTCAGAAATAGGCTTGACATTACCTGACTCACGGTGTTGAAAAAAATGGTCATCTAACAGTTAAAAGTTACCACAAACAGTTTAGTTTCCACAGGTAGGTTGTCCCTGCCTTCTGGGAAAGACTGAACACTACATGTGAAAACCTAAAGTAGCAAACACAAAAAAGGTAACAACCAAGCTGCCCATCACTGATTCCACCACAGCCCCTATTCTGCTTTTTTTCCTTCATAGGCAGAGCTATTTCATGATTCTTAAATTAGACTAGCTTGTAATAATAGACAAAGACATGAAGCAAATTACATATAGGCTTGCCCACATACTCAAAAAGTCTTTATGACCAAGAAGGGTCTCAAAAGGAGTCAGTCTCAGCATTAAAAGGTGTGTATTCTATTTGACTGTGAATAGAGGCATAATTAAAAGGAAATGACAGATTTTTGAAGAGATCCTTTGCATCCAGCTGGTCTTCAAATTTTATTACGTAAAACAGACATAGAGAAAACTATAGTTTGAGCAAGATGTACGTACCTCAGAAACAGTATGTTTGCTTTTATTCTCACCTTTATCTCATTTTGTAGTCATTGTTTCAAATATGCTCATATTAAATGATTTGCTAACTGTGTGATTATATAGGTATTATATAGGTATATTAATATAGGTATACTAACACACAAAAGTTATTATATATATCTCCTTACCTCTTGGCAAAAAAGTAAATGCCCTGTAACCTGGGCTGTATTTAACATTGACTTCTAGGTAAAGATCTATAGAAACAAAAAAATAGTTACCTGATTCTTGTACAAAGATGGAAAACATGAAAAGATGGAGAAGGCAATGAAGTGAAAAGTCCATTATATCTAAGGATGACAGTTTTCACAATCAGTCATAGCGTACTTTCCAGCTGGACTTCCAAGTCAAACTGGCATTCACTTACCTTAATTCAAAGCTCCCCTTCAAAAGAGTTTAATCATTAACCATTGTAAAAAGCTCAAGGGAGGATGGCCAATGCTGGTTCCATTGCTGGGCTGATTGTAGAAGGCCGCAATCACACTCTCCACCATAGATGGCGCTGCACCACCAGGTGAGCTAGAAAGCTCACATGTGTTGGTATTTTTCCACTACTCCCAAGGTTTCACCTGGGACTGGGAGCAGTTGACCAATCCAGGAATGACACGTCCAGGGCAGGGTCTGTTTTCCTTTATAAGGGCTGGGTTTCCCTCATTCTGGGTCTCCGCCATGTAAACTTATGCTCTCCCTCTCAAGACGCATAAAGTTTTTCTGCAGAAGAATCCTAAGTGTCCCGCGTCATTCTTGCTGGCGAGACCGTAGCGTGGGACAACTGGTGCTCGAAACCCCGGGACGCCGGGGGACCCTGACAACTGCTCGCACCGCCGGAGACCCCTTGGACACAAGGAGGATTCAGAACTGCAGGGTGTTTGCTCAGAGAGGTACGACTATTCTTGGACTTTTCGGTTTTGGGCTTGACTTGTCTCCACCTTGGAAAGATTTTGTAGAGGCCTTGGTACTTCTTAGCAGTTCTCTTATCACTTTGAAATTGCTTAGAAGATAAATCCTGCCAGGCTGTTGTTGCAGACGGACAAAATGTATTGGAGGAAGTCCAGGATAGCATATCAGAAACTGAGTGCAGTGAGAGGTTAGGCGCGCCTGTAAGAAAAAGAAGTAAGGAAAAAGAACCCCCCGGTGGAATGGGGGAGACTGAAAAGGAAATAAGAAAAAAGGACCCCCCGGTGGTTCTAAAAATGGGGGAGAAGATGCAAAAAAGCTTTATGTTATGTTGTTTGTAATGCAGCTGCGGCTGGAGGGCGGCTGGAGCGGAGCTTTGCTCTGTGGCTATGGTGGGAGACACGTTGTGCCGGCTCAGTCGGTGCCTGGCCTGGAGGGTATCACAGCAGTACCGAGAATGAGAGAGGTGCCACAAGCTGCCAGGCCAGAAGGCTTGCAATGTGCCTGAAACTGTGAGGGGCTCTGAGGCTGGAGTGGCTTCTGTTCCGCTTGGCTGAGCTGAGCTGTGCTGATCCTAGGTAACAAAGGCATAGCCTGGGGCAATGGGCGGGGCGGACAATGCCGGCTACTAGCCCGAGAGATTTTCCATCTGAATAAGGAACTGAAGAGATAGCTTAGGGGTTAAGAATGCTGCCTGCTCTTCCAAGGGTCATGAGTTCAATTCCCCAGCGACCACATGGCAGCTTACAACTATTTGGTTTTAAATCTAATGTTTCAGGATCCACAGGGAGGTAGATGCAAAAAGCCCTTAGATTTTTAAGGTGATTGGGTCATTGGCTAAATCTGTGACTGTGGCAAAAAAGCCCAGAGTTTCCAAAATGTCTCTGGTAGACTTCTTGATGCAGCTGGAGAATTGAGCCCCTGCGATCCCAGATGCAATGACTGATTATTAAGCAATTGTTTAGTTATCTTCTAGGTAATTGGACTGGAAAACTTGATGAGAAAGTAACAAGGATGACCCTCTAAACGCTACCATAGATACATCTATTAGAGGTAGAATAAAGAACAGGTGGATATCTTATGACAGCTTGCCCAGTTGGGCTGTGAATGGAAAACTCCAGCCTTATGTGTAACCAATGTACCATATGAGAACTTTATAAAAGTGGCTAACTTGTCCCGAGAATTGTCTTTGTATCTTGCAGGAGAATTTTGATGATTTGTTGTCCTCCTTGAGATGGTCCATCATGACAATCAACTCCACGTGAGTGGACATAAGCCTGGCCAAAGGATTCCAGTCCTGGATTGTGTCCTTCATCCCCTACTTCAAAGAATGGGTGGGGGTGGAAATGTTTTGGAACGGTCCTATGCTATGGAATAGTGTTTCTTCTCTGGATGGTCTGCTGACTCAAATCCCAAAGTCTTAGGGACAAAGTGGTTTTTGCACAGCGCTGGCTGCCCTGGAACAGGGAGCCTCTTCTGATATGTGGTTATCTATGTTAAAGCAGTAAGGTTTAAGCCAACCAGCTCCTGCACCCCTAGGACTGTGGTCCATTGCACAGGGTGGAGTGCTTGGCTTAGCTAGCCCTGAAGGTTGTCGAGCTGAAGAGCATCGCACAGAGAATGACCCTCTCTGAGAGATAAGTCGCTCTGCTTAAGGGTTTTCTGCCGTATATTCCCTTTCCCAGAAAATTGGCAGAGGGCAGGCCGGATAGGTTCCAGGTGTCATGAGCCTAGGGACAGATTCCGTGTAAGCCCATTTTAATGTTTTCATTTTGGGAAGTGCGACCTCTATCTTTACCTTCCTAGGGAGTTGCCTTTCTGCAAAGAAGTAAAATTAGGGGGAGATGTAGAAGGCCGCAATCACACTCTCCACCATAGATGGCGCTGCACCACCAGGTGAGCTAGAAAGCTCACATGTGTTGGTATTTTTCCACTACTCCCAAGGTTTCACCTGGGACTGGGAGCAGTTGACCAATCCAGGAATGACACGTCCAGGGCAGGGTCTGTTTTCCTTTATAAGGGCTGAGTTTCCCTCATTCTGGGTCTCCGCCATGTAAGCTTATGCTCTCCCTCTCAAGACGCATAAAGCTTTTCTGCAGAAGAATCCTAAGTGTCCCGCGTCATTCTTGCTGGCGAGACCGTAGTGTGGGACAGCTGATGGTCCTGCATTCTATAAGAAAGGTTACAATGAGGACCCTAAGAGGGACATACATTGACCTAACCTACATGGGTAATAGAAAAAGACAAGATCTTCTGAGTAAATTGGGAGCATGGGGACATTTGGGGAGGATTGAAGTGCAGAAGGGAGAGGCAGGAACGGGAGCAGAGAAAAATGTAGAGCTCAGTAAACATTAATAAAAAAAAAGAAGGAAGATTGAGCAAGTCCTGGGAAGCCAGCCAGTAAGCAGCTCCCCTCCATGGCCTCTGCATCAGCTCCTGCATGAGTTCGTGCCCTTGCTTGCTCTGGAAGAGGGGACAACCAAAATGACTCATAACCTCCAGTCCATGACTGTAAGTGCTGAAACATTAGCTGAGAGGATTATAACCATTGAATGTGAAAATCAGACTTTATCAAAAGGGTATGATAGATTAATTGACAGGATTTCCATACAAGAAGGCACAGTACATGCCATGAGGATTATGTCCAAGGAGGAAATGACTCATAACCTCCAGTCCATGACTGTAAGTGCTGAAACATTAGCTGAGAGGATTATAACCATTGAATGTGAAAATCAGACTTTATCAAAAGGGTATGATAGATTAATTGACAGGATTTCCATACAAGAAGGCACAGTACATGCCATGAGGATTATGTCCAAGGAGGATATCGTATCTCTAACGGACAAGCTCCATGCCTTGGAATTATCAATGAAGGCGATTGTGTCCAAGGAGGAAATAGTGTCTCTGACGGACAAGCTCCATGCCTTAGAATCGTTAATGAAGGCTTTGGAGCATAATACTGGAGAGGAGATTCAGGACTTACAGAAGGCAATGGTGAGCAGATTTAATAAGATTAAAGAAATCATAGACTCTGATGAACAGGAGCAAAAGGTAGAAAGGCAACCTTCACCTCAAAAAACTTTCAGTCTACATAGAGTTATACCTGCCTTTCCAGTAATAACATCAGAAAAGATAAATGGCTCCAAAACCCCTAAGGTCATTAAAGAACATACATGGGAGCCTATACGTATGAATGATCTGAAAGAATTTAAACAAGCAATTGTGAATTATGGACTACATTCATCCTTTGTTAGGGAGATGTTAAAATCCTGGGCTCTCAGCAACAGGGCCACCCCTCAAGATTGGAACCAGCTCACATCAGCTGTCCTTGAGAACGGACCTTTATGGCATTTCAAATGCCTATTCAAACAAGAGGCCAGACTTTTACAACAACAAGAATCAGCGAAAGGAATTGAGGTTTCTCTAGATCAAATTCTAGGGGAAGGACCTTACTCTGATCCTCAGGAACAAGCTCTTTATGATGAAAACATTTTATCCATATGTGATACAGCAGCTCTAAGGGCCTGGGACAGGGTTCAAGACTCAGGTCAGAGAGTAGAATCGTATGTCAGGGTCAAACAGGGTCAGAGAGAACCCTTTAGTGACTTTTTGCAATGACTAACTAAGGCTGTACAAATAGGGATACCTGATCCAGAAGCAAGAAATACAGTAATTGAGTCTTTGGCTTATGAGAATGCCAATGTAGAGTGCAAAAGGATACTGGGGCCTTTAAAGCTCAGATCAGCACCTTTGGACGAATGGGTTTTACATACAATGAATGTTGATACATTTGATTATGGCAATGAAACATGGGTACAAGAAGCAATTTCCAAAGGTAAAAGGAGACATCAGATTACAAAATGCTTTCATTGTGGCAAAATGGGACACATGAAAAGGGACTGCAGACAATGGAATTCCAGGAATAATTCCTCTTCTAGGAATAACAGGAATAGGAGGACTCAGCCTTCAGGTTTATGTAGGAGATGTGGAAAGGGCAGGCATTGGACGAATGAGTGTAGGTTAACAAGAGATAAACAGGGCAACCCGTTGCCATTGGGAAACTCAATAGGGGGCCTCTCGAAGGCCCCCATGGCAAATGTGGTCCAGTCATTTCCGATCACTGCAGAGAACATGCCTCTTCAGGGAAATTAGAATGCCCCATGCCTGCTGTTAAAAGCAATAATGGCCTGAAGGATGAGTTAAATGTGGTAAATGAATCAAGAAATCTAAGAGGACAAAGTAAACGAATATTCTGGCAGACTTCTATAAATGAACAAAGACCACAGCTAAGAGTGTGTGTAAATGGCAACCTTATTACTGGCTTACTGGACACAGGTGCGGATGTAAGTATCATTACACCAGAGTCTTGGCATCCGCATTGGCCTCTTCAGGAGGTAGATATTCAGTTCTTAGGAATTGGAACCGTATCTCGAGTAA